TATACTTTACAGAACTTAAAAGGATGTTCTTGTAAGCCAGATAATTCAATTAACTGGAACCAGCACTGTTGTAGAGCTTTTAATGCAAAAAGAAGTACTTTGGAGTTATTACTTACTGTAGGTATTCTCATACCAAGCACCAACCATACTAAGATACTAAGTGCTTTACAAGCATTTTCCCATTAACTCTCAACAATTTCTAGGAAAAAACAGGGGCTTAACAGAGACTGGCAAGGGATGGAGCAGGAATCATAACTAGGGCTGACAACAAAGCCCATGCTTTTTTTGGTCAATCGCTGACAAAAAATCAACTGGAAACAATCTGAGCAATAAATTATTTGATGCCTCTATCAGACTATATTTCTGTTCATATACACATATAAACACACACCAAAATGTTGCTCTTCAAGTAACATTATAAGTTAGAAAGATCAAACTAACAATTTAGAACAGGCAATTCTTGGTCAATCTAGAATTTCATTTAAAGCAAAATACACACAAAAACTTCCTAAATAATTGTTCCATTAATTGCCAAACAGTTATGCAAATATAATGTAGCTGAAGAGCACATTTCAGAGAACTATTCTTATATTTGTTGAAGGCCATATTAGCTTGCTCCTAAAAGACTGACCAACCATGTTCTCTAACATGAAGGAGAGTAAGCTCTTTTTGTGTATTGTCCCTTCTGCCCAGAATACTTTCTCCAGCTTGTCCAGCTGGCAAACTCACTCCTCCTTCAAATCCCTACAAGTGTATTCTCCTGTGAATCTCCCAAGCTAAGGCGAACTTATGTACTCCTTTCTCTACACTGCCACTGATCTCCTTCTGAGCCTCCATTATGTTCAGTGGCTGCTAATAGTACACTGCAATTATGTTTATACAACCTTTTCCCCTCAAGACTGATAGTTGCTCAAGGACAGAAGGCATGAATTTTCATCTATATATTTCCCAATCCCCAATGCAGAATCCAGCACAACACAGTTGGGGTTCATTACTTACTTACTTACTTTAACTAATTAACATAAACTAACAAATTATAAACATTTAAAAACTTTCCAGAGACCATTAATATGTATTATCTACTTTTACTATCCTATAAGCTATCCTGTATTCCTAGTTTTCAGACAGGCAGGATTGATGCTGTTTTTTTTTGAAAATATCCATCCACTTAACTGGACACAGTATACAAAATATTGCGGTGGGTAATGTGGGGGATACAAAAATCAGGGGCCCCATCTCATGGGATCACAATAAAGTGGAGAACAGACATGTTTATAATTGTTTCAATTACTGTTCAATAATAAGAACACTAATAGAAATAAGAAGTGCTATGGAAACTACAGAGTGGAAGGGCTAATTATGATTAAGAAGACTACGGAAGGGCCTGAGAACATTTAAGCTGTGCCTTGATGAATGGATAGAAAAGTACATTCTACATCAGGGAACAAATAGCATGAGCAAAAAGGTCCAGAAATGTAAGACAGGGCTGGCCTGTGGCTCACTCGGGAGAGTGTGGTGCTGATAACACTAAGGCCACGGGTTCAGATCCCAAATGGGGATGGCCAGTTAGCTCACTGGCTGAGCGTGGTGCTGACAACACCAAGTCAAGGGTTAAGATCCCCTTACCGGTCATCTTAAAAAAAAAAAAAAAAAAAAAAAAAAAAAGAAGTGTAAGATAATATACGCATATTATACATTTTAAAACTTCTAAATTTACAGATACAGAATGAAAGAAAGTGGTGTGGAAGTCTGATCACGAGAATTATAAAAGCTTCAAAGAAAACAAATATATCGTATATACGAGGGGTCTTCAAAAAATTCATGGAAAGGGGCTGGCCCGTGGCTCACTCGGGAGTGTGGTGCTGATAACACCAAGGCCACGGGTTCGGATCCCATATAGGGATGGCCGGTTCGCTCACTGGGTGAGCGTGGTGCTGACAACACCAAGTCAAGGGTTAAGATCCCCTTACCGGTCATCTTAAAAAAAAAAAAAAGAGCTAAAAATAAATAAATAAATTCACTCACACACAGACACACAAAAAAACCCGGGGGTGGGGGGTGGGGAAGAAGATATAACAACTACAATTTTTTTGAAGTTGTTACAACAAGCAAACGGAAAGGACATTCTTGGGTGGGAGGGGGGAGAGGGAGGAAGGAGGGAGGTTTCAGTGATGGGCCATAATAATCAACCAAATTGTATATTGACAAAATAAAAATTTAAAGGAAAAAAAAATTAAAAATTAAAAATAAAAAAAAATTCACCGGGGCCGGCCCGTGGCTCACTCGGGAGAGTGCGGTGCTGATAACACCAAGGCCCCGGGTTCGGATCCCATATAGGGATGGCCGGTTCGCTCACTGGCTGAGCGTGGTACTGACAACACCAAGTCAAGGGTTAAGATCCCCTTACCGGTCATCTTTAAAAAAAAAAAAAAAAAAAAAATTCACGGAAAGATTTGTATTATCTTTCAATTCCATTTTTCCATGAACTTTCTGAAGTACCCTCGAATCTCTCCTGTATTCTCCTCCTAGCTAAAAAGTATTCTTGAGGGCATCCTCAGCTGCTACCAGCCCATTAGATAAATTAATTCATTAACAAAGGGATCTATCAATCATTAAAAGATACTGAATTTTACTTTATACACTAACCACTGAATGGGCTTGGTTTTTTATTTATTCTCAATAAATACATAGTAATAGGAAATTTTAAATATATATATAAAGCATACATCAAAAAGTTCATGTAAAAATAAAATTAAAAAATTATACAAATCTGTCCATGAACTTTTTTTAAAACTTTTTGTTTTTTGCAGCTGGCTAGTACAGGGATAGAACCCTGGACCTTGGTGTTATCAGTACCACGCTCTAACCAGCTGAGCTAACCAGCCAGCCCTCCATGAACTTTTTGAAGTATCTTTGTCTGTCTGTCTGTCTGTGTCTGTCTGTCTGTCTGTCTGTCTGTCTATCTATCTATCTATCTATCTATCTACATGTATATAGACATATGGGAAATAATATCAACAATAATAGCAGCTGGCACCTAGTCAGTGCCCACATACTCTAAAAGTGCTTTTGCATGTATTTACTGACTTAATCCTCATAATAAACCCTATGAGATACGCATGAATTTTGCCCCCATTTCATAGAAAGCAATAAGTTGTCCAAGGTGACAAAGCAAGTGGCAGAGTCAGATTCAGACCTGTAAGTCTGGCTCTAGAGCCTGGGCTCTTAACCATTCTTTGTAATACACATACACACACTTTTATGTCAATTTCTAAAAAGTGTACATATAATTTTCTGCTTGGAAAAAACCACAAATATTCTATAACACAGACTTTAAAAAAACTTTCAAAAATTTTAAATTGTGATAAAATATGCATGAGGTAAAATTTTCCAACTTAACCATTTTTAAATGCACAGTTCAGTAATGTTAAGAACATACACACTGTTGTGCAACTAAACTCTAAAGCTCTTTTCATCTTGAAAAACTGAAACCCTATACCAATTATACAACCAGTCACCATTTCCCTGGCAACCACTATCCTACTTTCTGTCTCTATGAATTTGACTATCTTAGATACATAACATTATTTTTTAATGTCTGGAAATTATTCTATTTGGTTGATACACTATAATTATATTTTAATGCCTTTTGATTATCAAAATGAACATGTGCTTTCTATTTCTTTCTTTTTTTTTAAAGATGACTGGTAAGGGGATCTTAACCCTTTACTTGGTGTTGTCAGCACCATGCTCACCCAGTGAGCAACCGGCCATTCCTATACAGGATCCGAACCTGTTGCCTTGGTGTTATCAGCACCGTACTCTCCCGAGTGAGCCATAGGCTGGCCCCTATTTCTTCTGTGAAATGTTCCTGTTGATATTAAATTTATAAACGTGAAGTACTCAACAGATGTTAACATTTGACAACATTCTTTTATAACACATTAGTTCTTATCTTAATTATTTTTGTTTTGTTAGAGTATACTTTTACAGAATTTGTATTCCTGAACAATTTATATTTATTTTAAATATTAATTACTAACTTTTTTTTTTTTTTGGCAGCTGGCCAATGTAAAGGATCAGAACCCTTGACCTTTATGTTATCAGCACCACACTCTAACCAAGTGAGCCAACTGGCCAGCTGATATAATACTTTAAATACTAATTTTTATAACTGAGGTCTACTTAAAGCAGGGTGCAATTTTATGTAGAAAAAAATTAAACGTCACGTTAATTAAAAGATACATCAAATTTAAAAACTGGGAAAGACTAAAAACTTCAGTGCCTAAGACTGAACTCATATATAAAGAAACACAAGAAAGCAATCACTATAAAATCAGGATAATGACTACTTTTGAGCAGAGTAAGAAGGTCATGATTAGATGTACACATGCAGGGGGCTGCTGGTGTGGCTGTCAGAAGTTTTATTTTTTGACATGGATAGTAGTTATAAGGGTGTTAGCTTCACAATAATTTATTAATCAACATATTTCTTTTGTGCAGATTTACATACCTGTATTTTACTTTACAATAAAAGTATTAATTTTATTCTTTGAGTAGTTTGAAAATATTAAATTTTCCTCTAGCAAAGATATTATACAAATGACTGAAAATTATACTGTTACAAAATCAAGACAAATATTCATAGGAAAAAGGAAATATTACTCTCAAAAAGTTTTAATAATATTCTAGAAATATTTCTGTTAACATAAGGTAATTTTTACAAATAATCTGAAAAATAATTAAGAAAAAAGATATTTGGATAAATGAATTAAGAGAAAATATACCTTGTAATAACAAATTACTCTGATGAAGACCAATAAATGAGGAATTCATATACAACCTTAAAACTAGAAAAAGTTTCTTTACAGCAATTACATTTAATAAACACAAAGTCAGATAGTACAATTTTTAAAAATGAAAGACAAAATTAAACTATTAAAAAACATTATGCACAAACATCACAAACACAGCCTGAGAGTTTGGGGGAAAGTACTAACCAGTTACTGCCAGCAGCTGTGAAACTCTCACCTCCATTTCCTCCCGATGAGACCGGTCTCTATCTTCAAATTCACGTGTCCTTCTCCGAGCCTCTTCAAAGGCCTGCTGTGCTAATGCATCCTCCTGCTGTCAGAATACATGAAATACCTTTTAATTTTGACTTATAATAAAAATTTAAAATTTGGAGATGTTTTATTTTTTGGAAGAAACAAATAGCAGAGTATTTCTCAAAATATCAACACCATAAAAAAAAAAACTAATGTGAGGGATACTTTAAAAAGAAAACTTCCTTATTTTCAAGTTTTATATTACACCTTGAAAATAGTAATGATCCCATACTGGCCAGCTGTCCCCCCAAAAAGAAAGAAAATAGTAATGATGTTCACTCATAGTCTAACTATTAAAAATTTCTTCCCTTTTCTTTCTTTACCTCATCAAAATAATAATCGTGATCAACTCAATATTTAAACCATAGAAGGACAAGGAAAATAATTAGTAAATACTTCTGTCATTTGGGGATTAAAAAAAAAAGGCCCTCTCTAACTATGACACTAAAACCAGAAATAGAAGATTAAGAGAATTGACTATACTAATGTTACAAATTTCTAGAAAACAAAAATAAATGAAATTCCAAGGGAAATAATCAACAAAAAAATATGTGTAATATATAACAAATCTATCCTAAACCTTTCCCAGTTAGTGGCTAAAGATCTGCACATGAAGGAAACCCACATACCTCAAACTCACTGTGTCTAAAAAGGCAACCAATTCAACTTTCTCCTCTATTCCTTCTTTAATCTTGGTTGGTGGCACCACTCATTCATTTCTACTAGAAACTTGAGCCATCTTTGACTCTGTACTCTCTTATCTCCACAGAGTCAATCAACCACCATGTCCTACTCATTTGACTTCCTACATATCTTTGGGACCTTTGGTCTCCTCTTCACTCCTATAAACATTTTCCTTGTTCAGGCCCCTAAGAGCTCTTACCTAGATGACTGCAAAAGTCTCCTAAAACAGTCTCTTCCTGTTTCCATTCTGCCACCCCCCAATCTACAACACAGTCATGAGAGCATGCCTTCTAAAACACAATCTGCCCACAGTGTCCCCCAACTTTAAAAAGCTCCCTCACTGTCTACAGCACAGGATGCTCAACTTTGTAGTCACATACTCCGAATACTAGGATTTTTCAATGGTACACTTGAAGAAACTAAGATCCAAAACAGTACCCAAAAATTCATCAATATTCACTTTCCTAGATTCACTGCAGCAAGGAGTGGCCATGTAACTCAATTGTAGCCAATGAGGTAGTAGCACAAGTCACCTAACGGGGCTTTCAAGAAAGTCATTTAATAGACATTTCACCATTCCTCCTTCCTGGGAACCGATGCAGCAGCTATCTTGCAAACACGGTAGTGAGGATGTAGTCACACAATGAGCATTGCACAGCAGGAAGATGAAAAGACCCAGGGCCTCTGATAATATAATTAAGTGCCATAGCAGGCCTGGATTGTGTACTGTTGGATATCTTGCTCTGTGTAATAAATCCTTTGTCACTGTTAGTAGGATTTTTTAAAAATTATAATTTTCACAATGTCTATAACAAATGGAATTTAAAGGTGTGATCAAATTCCCATTCTTATGATGCACTTATTAGCTTTATGACCCAGGACAAAGTATTTCATTTCTCCAAACCTCAATAAACTCACATGTAAAATGGGCACAGTAATACTTCAAAACAAGATCACTGTAAAGATTAAATGAGATACATAAAAAGTGTTTTAGCACCCTGCCTGACAGCATTCAACAGGTGCTAGCTATTACTTCACAAGCATTTATGGATATATGAAATTAATACTTTGACTAAACATCACACATACCTACTGTATTCTCAGAACGTACTATCCAAGCCAGAAGTCCCTGCAAAAGAATGCTATTCCCAATTCCCAAGGACTTTCTATTATTTAGTTACCAACTGGGACACATCTGTTGATGACAGGATACCCCTTCTGTCCTATACATTCATTCATTCACTTTTTCATTTATTCCACAAATATTTATTTAGCCTTTATTATGTCCAAGTCAGTGTGCTATGTGCCATGGATACAATATGATAGAGGGAACAAATGGTGCTTTTTCTCATGGACCTTCTGGTCTAGTGAGGCAGGTGGGCAATGAACATAAAACTAGCAAATCAATATAAAATTATCAACTGTGATTAAGTACAGTAGAGAAAAATCAGAAGATGAAATGAGAGAACATAAAATGAAATGTGATCTAATTCCCTACTACTAGCCACTAACATGCATTCTAGCAATGGTCATGAATTTTTCTTTTATTAAAAGAATAAACAGTATTATTACAAACAGTTTCAGTAAAATAAGTCAGGAAGAGATTTGATAGCCCTGTACTTTCGAGTTCCAATTTCTGTACTAGTCTTTTCTAGTGACGTGTGAGATGTACATGCAGTGAACAGAGTTCATACTTACTGGAAAGAGGATTGGCGATTACTAGTGTTACCCTGATCCTTTCCTATTGCAACCTAAGTAACACCTCCCTTTCAAGGACAGTATAAAGGGCACTGCTCACCCATAAAGTAGGCTCAAATGGCTAGGGATAACTACCTTTATCCAGTCTCGGGTGATGGTGGGAGAGGTTTTCAACATTCAGTCCCCACCAGCTACTTGTTATACTAGTTTGTTACTCCATGGTCTATACCACAACCTGCATGAAGTAGCCAGGTAGGGTCATTATAAAACATAGTTGGGTGTATATGAAATCCACATTGGTTTAAATACAGGCTTAGTAGTCCTATCAAGAGCATATACAGAATATTCTGACTACCCTTGCTGCGGTGATTTCGTACAGTTTGAGCATCATTAATCTAAAAATCCAAAATCCAAAATGCTCCAAATTGGAAACTTCTCCCCCCCCCCCCTTTTTTTTCCATGTCCGGCAACAGATTGCAACCCGCAGTGTCGCCCCCGTACCGGACCGGGACCGGCAACGGGATAGGCAACGGGATCGCAACCCTCGGTGTTGCCCCCACGCCTCACTCAGCCAGTGAGTGGGAACCGGTCTGTATGTGGGATCCGAACCCTTGGCGGGAGCGCTGCCGCGCTTCCCAAGCGGCGCATTAGCGCAGTGCGCCACCGGGCCGGCCCTTTATTTTTACTCTTTTTATACGGACACTAATCCCATTGGATTAGTGCTACACTGTAATGATGTCATTATTGTTATTTACCATCTTCTAGGCCCTATGTCCACATATAGTCTTATTGGGGATTAGGGTTTTCACATATGAAATTGGAGGGAGCACAATTTCAGTCTATGACAAAGGGTCAGGGCATAACCAGGGACACAGAATATAGCTGTGTCTGCGTCAGGATAGTCAACATCCCAGAGGTCATCCGTCAATACCATTTTCTAACACAACGCTGTAATAAACACCTAACTCTTAAAATGTAAAACATCTGTCCGTGTTCTGTGTACTGCCTAAAATCATCTCATATTTCTCCTGTGGGATACACTGATCTGTTCACCAACTTATTCATTCAAGAAACATTTACTGACAGGGTCCTATTTGCATAACTGTCAGCTGCAACAATGGGTCCTCATCTGAAAGGAGTGACATCCCCATCCAACAGGCATTTCCTCATCTGAGGCTTCAGGGAATGGCAAGGGGGCTTCCCTGTTCTTGGAAACTTCTTAATCACTGACATGACGCTCAAAGAAAATGCTACTTGGAGCATTTTAGATTTTGGATTTTCAGATTAGATATGCCCAACCAGTATGTATTCTGCAAATATTCCAAAATCCAAAAAACTTCTGGTCCCAAGCATTTCGGGTAAGAGATACTTAACCTATAAAAGAGTATTTCAAAAAGTTCATGGAAAGATTTGTATTATCTTTTAACTTTATTCTTCCACAAATTTTTTGAAGTACCCTTGTGTTATCTAAATCTACAACTATACTTATTTTAAAGTTTGATAACTCTTACCTTTCTGCAGCAAAGAATTTAAAAAATGAAAGTTCGGGCTGGCCCGGTGGCGCACTGCTACAGTGCGCTGCTTGGGAAGTGTGGCAGGCGCTCCCGCCGAGGGTTCAGATCCCACATACAGACCGGTTCCCGCTCACTGGCTGAGCGAGGCGTGGGAGCAACACCGAGGGTTGCGATCCCCTTGCCAGTCCCGGTCCGGTACGGGCACGACACTGAGGGTTGCGATCCGTTGCCGGACACGAAAAAAGACAAAAAAAAAAAAAAGGATAAAAAAATGCAAGTTCATGTTCAATGAAAAATTAAGAATCAAATTCATTTTCAAGAAAGTTGAGGATGAACATGTAATTTGCAAAAAATATTGACATTTACTATTCTCTGTGGGGACCAGAATGATATCACTGATCACATGAAAAGAAATAAATCTGCTGAAGAAGCATAAACATCTATTTCAAGGACCAAAATTTAAAATGTGCAGCTGCAAATGGTACATTTGACACATCACTCTGCAGAACATAACTTTTCATTTAGATCAATGACTCTTCCAAATTAATTTCATCCACATTATTGTGCACATACAAAAAGCAAAGCTGTCTATATCATGGCTTCATTAATAGAAATACCTTGCAAACAAAAAGATAACAGTTTTACATCAGTGTCATCAGGTACTTTAAAAGAGAAAATCTGTTAGTTTCCAATAATGGTTCAATTTTTCTAAACCAATCATGAAATCAAATAAAACTTCTGAAAGGTCATTACACTAAACGTGAAACATCTTTTTGTGATTGCCAAAGTAAAGTCATTTAAGAAGTATACCAATGAAGATAAAATTATTACACACTTGAAATATGGCTAGTCTGAGTTGAGATGTGCTGTAAGTAGAAAATGTACAATGGATTTCAAATACTTATTACAAATAAAGCAAATATCTCAATAAATTTTTGTTGATTACATATTCAAATAATATTTTGGATACACTGGGTTAAATAAAATATAATACAAAAAAATCATACTTGTTTCTTTTCCCTTTTTAAAATATATGGCTTCTAGAAAATTTTAAATTACAGCATATGGCTTGTATTTTAATCCTATTGGAGTGCATCGTCCTAAAATACAGCTTGATGAATTT